CCTCTCCCTGGGCCTTACCAGGCCATGGTGTCCCCATGCTGATGAGGACAAGGGCCTCTTCCTCACAACCCTGGCCAGGTGGTTGTGGGGGTCTGTGGGCAGGGGGGCTCATTAGCATCAGGGTACCTCTTTAAATAAAGGGGCACCCTGATGCTGCCCCCCCTTATGAATGAGTACCCCTACCCATTCACTAAAAGGTTAAAAGTGTGAAAAAAATAGAGAGCAGACTTTTTAAAAGGTCCTTTATTGAACAAAAAATAAACAAAAAAACAGATTTCGACAAGTCTTTTATTTAAAAAAAAAACAAAATGGTTCCAGCATTGTAACCCATCATCAATCATGGCATCCAGCACTGTCATGATGACGCCGACTTGCTGAAATAAAAAAAAAACATGCCCGCCGAACCTTCTGCACCCGCCATTATCTGACATTTGTGAGTCAGAGGTAAACAATTAGGTGGAGCTAGCAGTAACATCACCATCAGAACTGTCATCTACAATTGTGGCGAACTAACAGTGATATAACCACTAGAGACTTTGGCCAATCATGGCTCTTATTGTGAACTCAGCTGTGTTTGACCAAAGCTGCAATGCTTTGGCCAATCACAATGCGCCATCAGAGTGCATTGCATTGTGGAGCGTGCGGGCGAATGGCCCACCGAATGCCCTAGATGTTAGTGTGTTCAGCAAACACGTGAACATTCAATGTTCGAGTTGAACGTATGATCGACTCGAACATATAGACGATCCCTACTCATCACTCATTATAGAGTCCCAGTAGTCTTCTTTTTCAGCATGGGCCCTGGCAAATTCTAGGTGGGATTTTTGGGAGGCTTCCTTCTTGGATGACACCCATGCATGCCATTCCTCTGCAGTGTACACCGTATTGTGTCAAAGGAAACAATAACCCCAGTTTGGCTTTCTACTTCTTTAACTAACTGCAATAAACTTGCATGGTGATTTTCTTCATCCTTTCTCATCAGAAGACACTCCTGTCCTAACTTCCGTGAATGGCCTGGACCTCTCTGTGAGATGGTTGCAGTTCCATCTTTGTTACATGTTTGTATCATTTTTGCTACAGTATTCTTACTGATAAGTAAAGCTTTGCTGATCTTCTTGTAATCATCACTTTTCTTGTGTAAAGACATTATTTTCTTTCTTAAGCTTTGTGACTTTTTTTTCCATGTGGTGCCATTGCTGCCAGCATGAAATGGAAAGGGGTTTCTTTAACCTCCCTGGCGGTATGATTATTTCCGATTTTTGGTGCTGAAAGCGGTACCATTTTTTTGCATGGAAATATGTATTTTTTTTATTGTAGGCTGTAATTTTTAGGAAAAACTGAAATCTCACTGAAATCTGTCCGAACAAGAGTCTAGTAAACATCCCGGGTATGATAAAATTTGAAACACAAAATCATAAATTATAATTTAATAAATAATCATAAAAATAATATAAAAATAATAAAAAATTTAATTCAATAATATAATCAAACCAAAAACACTGAAATGTGAAATAGAGCGCCAAGTTCGCACATCGCTGAGCAAAGTCGCAAAATCGTTTTCAGTTTCTGATGACGAATTTCCCCCACGAATCATTATCACTCAATTCTGCAAGTGGTTCTGATTTACTATCGCTGTTCTCTAGCTGATCTAAACCGTTTTTGACCTAAAGGGACACTTTTTGGACGCCATGGACATTTCTCAGTTTCCAGGCAGAAAGAATAGACAAAATGCAGGCAGGGCGCAGGACAAAGCACTAGGGACAATATGTATGTGAAATAGGTTGAAACAGCAATGTTTTACTGTGTAAAATGTAAAAAAAAAAAAATGACATTTTTTAAAATTTTTAAATTTCCCCGCCGGCGCGGCGGCGGCGGCGCGCCCGTACGTCCCGACGTCACAGGGACAGGACACAGAAGCCGGATGCCGGCATCGGCCGGAGGAGATGGCCGGGGACGCTGCAGGGGACACATCGTGGGAGCGCAGGGTAAGGTAAGTGAAGAACACTTGCCGGAGCAGTGCCGCAGGGTAAGCCCGAGTGTAGCTCGGGGTTACCGCTTTTGGTACTGAAATGTTACCCCGAGCTACACTCGGGAATACCGTCAGGGAGGTTAAGTAATGCCCTTTTCTTATCAACTGTTGGACACCCGTTTAATGAATAATTAGACTCACCTGTAATTGAAATCTTGTTAATTAGGATTTTGTTGTCTAAAATTTAGCTTTGCTCCTAAGACTTTCATTGGGGTGTATTCATTTTTGCAACATGGTCTTGAATGAATTTGTTAGGAAAAATACTTTTTTTGTGTGCAAATTAACAAATCTTGTTTGCAATCAATGGCCGCATTTGTGGAAGTATTTTGTGGTATAGTCTCCCATAGGAAATGTTGATTCTGAAAGGAAAGTAAAAGTTTTCTGACAAATCTGTTGAGGTGTACTCATTTATGCTGAGCACTGTATGTATGTGTACAACAGTACAACAAATAAACAACAGTACAACAAATAAAACAAGCATATCATAAAGACATTAAGGTTAGAGTGCACAAGCTAAAAGTGCCATATTGCAGTAGAATACGGTTAGCGTACACAACTATCACAGCTATTTGATCATTCTTATAGGAATAAACTTGGCAAACAGTGTTTAGAAGAAAGAGGGGTAAATTAGAACTGGAGTAGAGGGGAATCTATAGGAGGGATGTAGGGTAATACGAAAGGAAATGGGGGTAATCTTTGTTAGCATTGGACATTTAAGCCTCTGGCGATGGCATAGGGTGGGCCTGCAGGGAAGTCTAAAATCAAAGAAAAAAAATTATTTACCAGTATCCATTTTGGTAGTTGACAAGTGAGTTATGGTAGCTTCTTTGTAACTTTTGAAAGTATGGTCTGTTGGGATATTGATCTCTATCAGGTGTTCTAAATACCAGCCAACTGGTCCAGATGTTATAGAATTCAGTGTATGAATATTTCTTGTTTTGTGTTATCTCTTCCATGGTGTAATATTGAAGTAATTCCCTCTGTGATTAATTGCTTTGAATATTTGGAGATAAAGCTATTAGCAGCAGTGAGAAGGAATGATGCGAAAGGTCCATTAATATCAGCCTACAGGTGATTGAGTACAATTAAATAATAAGAACCATGAGTCTAGAGTAAGTTTGGTTCCTGTGATAGCATTGATAATATTGATTATTATTTCCCAATAATTTTTTTAATTACCAGACGAAAAGACCAAATGTGGCTAAAAGGCATTGGTTGACCATATCTCCTCCAGCATGTATCTGGAAGGTGAAGGTCATACTTGGTATGGGTGCAGCGATACCCTGTACCAGTGTGCTTATAATTATTGTTTTAGAACTGCAAACAAAATACATGTTACTAATGTTACCTTTCACAACTGCTCATCCATAAGTCAGAATGTTCATGTTACAATTATTTAATACATCACAGGAGGGAAAAGATAGATATAAAACGTATTTGTATAGACTCAATACGCCTTTTAATAGAGGATGCTTGTCAAAGAAAAACTTTTCATTAAGGACAGGCTTAAGCTTAGGGAGGGAGGTGTAAAAATGTTTGACCTGTTGATATCTCCAAAAATCCAATGAATCATTACCTAATGTGAATCTGATATTTTAAAGGGTAAAAAGAATTGGTCACTTTTAATACGTGAAATAATTTCAGACAAGCATCCATCATCCAACCTTTAATCAATTTTCTACTTTTTTTGCATACATGGTAAAATATGCTATAAAATTACCTAAAACGCCCAAATTATTACATATTTTCTGAAAGCAGATGCTCTGAAGATAAAATTGGCAGTTAAAATTTGTTAGTGACTTGATATTTGCGCAACTACTTTTCAAATGCATATTTTCAGGAAATATACACTAAAATGAATTTTAGTGCATACAAGCACAATATCATTTTGTTTTACTTATATTTAAAATATCAAGTTGTGTCAAGTAAATGCATATCAAGCCTGTCAAGCCTTAAAATTGTGAGCACCCATAACATGGAAAAAAATATGGCACCCACACTTGACACTTTAAAAGCCTTTGTAACCTTTTCAACTTTATTAGTTTTCAATGAATGAAAATATATGGCCCAAGAATTATTGCTTTCATTCTTACAGCAGCAGTAGTACCTCACTTGTGTGGCACAATCGTCATAAGCATACATGTGTACGCTCTACATGAGCATCTTTATTGCTATCACAAGGGGGCTAACAAACCCTCCTTGTGATAGCATTGGACAGGTGACAGGATCTCTTTTTATAGAGACATTAGGGAATTATTAGACCCTTAATGCCTCCCCTGCCTCTCCAATGCACCTAATAAAGCACACATCATTCTTTATCAGTGGCTTTCCAGGCTACAGTATCTGAGGAAATGACAACTTTGAACCTCAAAGTGACAAAATCCTCATTGTTGGAGGATTTCTGGAGTCACATGAGAATTTCAATACCCAGCTTGCTGCTCTGGCAGCAACTGTTAGTTTTTTTTTTTATTTTTTTAATGCTTTAACTACGAGGATGATTATAAACACACCTTAGAAGAAAAGATATTAAAGACTCTATGGTCTAGTCCAGAGGCAAAACCCTGGGAATCCAAACCTGTTTTATGACAGGAGAAGGTTGTATAACTTCCTTCTAGAATGTATCAGAATCTAAAATATGTGTAAATGGCTATGACTTTAACTACTTGCCAACTGCAGATAGCCGAATGACGTCTATTCTGCGGCCGGCCAGTTCTGGGAGGGCGTCATATGATGTCCTCCCAGAACGCGCTCTCCTGCGCGCCCCCGGCGATCTCCGTGATTGCTGTGTCCTATGCACACAGCTGATCACGTGATGTGGTAAAAGGCCAATCACAGCAGCCTTTTACTACGTGATCAGCCATGTCCAAAGACATGCTGATCACTGGGAAATCTGTCAGAGCGCGAGGAAAGTACTGCTGAGAACCGGCAGTTGTCAGAGCAGGGATCGGCACCGATCATCAGGGCACTGATGATCAGTGCCCTGATGATCGGTGCTCAGCAGCGCCACCCACCAGTTGTCCCCAGCAGTGCACCCACCTGTGCCCAGCAGTGCAACCACCTGTGCCCTGCAGTGCCACCCAGCAGTGCCACCTACCTGTGCCCAGAAGTTCCACCTACCTATGCCCAGCAGTGTCACTCACCTGTGCCCGCCCACCAGTGCCCATCAATGCAGCCCAGCAGTACTGCCAGTCAGTGCCACCAGTCAGTGCCCAGCGGTTGTGCCAGTCAGTGCCCAGCGGTTGTGCCAGTCAGTGCCCAGCGATTGTGCCAGTCAGTGCCCAGCAGTGTTGCCAGTCAGTGCGACCTATCAGTGCTGTCTATCAATACCCATCATCAGTGCCCCCTATCCGTGCCACCTATCAGTGCCGCCTATCAGTGCCACCTATCCGTGCCACCTCATTAGTACTGCCTATCAGTGCCGCCTATCAGTGCCCATCAGTGCTGCCTCATTAACGCACATCAGCGAAGGAGAAAAATTACCTGTTTGAAACACTTGTTTCTATGTTTAATAGAAAAAAAGAAACTTTTTTTTTTTTTTGTTTTACAAATGTTTTACACTTTTTTTGTTAATAACGCAAAAAGTAAAGTGTGTCCAGTGGCGATTAAATACCACCACAAGTAAGCTTTCTTTGTGAGAAAAGATAAACATTTCATATAGATACAATCTTGCATGACCGCACAATTGTCAATCAAAGTGCGACAGCGCTGAAAGCTGACATTTGGCCTGGTAAAGAAGGGGGTATAAGTGCCCAGTAGGCAATTGGGTCCATTTGGACCCAACTTGAATATCGAATGGAAAAGTCATGTTGGTGCCTGGCAGGGGCAGACTGACCATTTGTGCACTTGGGCACTGCCTAAGGGCTCAGGTTTAGTAGTGGGCCCCATGAGATGCCCCTAGTACCTTTCATAGGCTTTTATGGGTGTGGTTTGAGTGTGGGTGAGGACACGGGCCCCATGATCCCCTATTGCCTGGGGGGGCCCCATGAGCTGTCAATCCGCCCCTGGTGCCTAGTTAAGGATTCCATAATATTTTTTTTTAATTATTGAGGCTCAGTCCAACATCTGACTTTGACTTCTTTAGCATTCAAACATTGAAAACTAAAGTGCATGTTTTACTGTGTGTAACCACAATGCATGGCAATGCACAATCCAGGTGTTGTGCACTGTAGTTCCATCATTTTACAAAACACTCAAACACACCTTACCAAACTAACATGAATTACAAATTAGATGGAGACATCTGTCCAATGTGATGAAATGAGATACCAAAATGTTGCAGCTGTAGTTTTGGGTGTATTGTGGTGCATCATCAGCCCATTAAAAATACATAGGCTGCTTTTACACAGTTTATGTTAAACTATGGCATATAACCAGATAAAGTCTGTATCAAAGCCTGGGTTCGAATGTGGGCCTTCTGGGTTTCTTCTTGCTGAGCCACCTGGAATGCTGGACAGCTCTCTTGACAATTATTTGGATGATCCTGCCTTAGCCCTGTTTGTCTTGAACCTTGAACCCCTTGCTCCTCCCATGAACTTCCTGATAAAAGCCATGTCTCTGCATTTCCTTTTTGCCAGATTATTGTGCCTTCTCCAGCCAATATCCCGCTTGCCTCTCCTGCTGCTGTCTATACCTTCGCTACCGACCTTTGGCTTGTTCCTGGACTACGATTCTGCCTCATTCTCCTCTACTACCGTTTGTGACTGACTCTTGGCTTGTTGACTGACTGCGCTTCTGCTTGATCCCTAACCTGTTTGATCTGCTAATGGATTCCGGCTTGCTTATTCCCTGGTGGGGTGATCCTGAGATCTGCAACCTGGTACTAACACGCAGCCAAATCCATCTCCACCATTAGGAGCTCTGGTGAAAACCAGTTAGTGCTTAGACCCCGCACCTCAGTTGGGCCTGCGTCATTTCCCAGGGTGACCTGCTGGTTTACCTATCCTGCTGGCTTCAAGTAAGCCTTACACTGCTATAGCAACTGGTCTCTGAACCTGACCCAGACCGTGACAGTCTGTGAAGTAACATGTTGTAATGCACTACAAAATTGTGAGGGGGATTTAATATTAATGAGTGAATATGACAGCTAACAGTTATATTTTCAATTTATTAAAGATTCTGTAAAAATTAGAGATTATTGCAGAGATCACTGAGTTTTTAATTAGTTTGACACAAAAGCATGATACATACTTTAAACTACAACATTTCAATTTTGCTTTAGAGCAATTATGGGTGCAATAACGAGTGCTATCTCTTGTTGCCTGGTAAGGTAGAAAATCACAATACTTTCAATATTGCACACAATACCTAATTCTTCTTCTAAAAGTTTTATTTTGACCCTCTCTTTCTGTTCACTTTTTTTCTGATTGTAAAAGCTAAAAGCACTTCAGGACCATTAAATGTACAAGTCTTCTACAGACTCTTAGATACTTCCTGTAAGGCAGTTATGGAATAATATTTTAAAGGAATTGTGCTTTGAGTGCTTTTTCTAGGTATTTGAGAAAGTGAAAGATGCAAGTCTCTTATGTTCTTTTTAGGTGCACTTTTATCACAGTATAGCATTGTTATGACTGCCAACTTCACCGTTTTGTGTCTTTTATTGATATGAGGCATATGTATCTCTCATTGATCAGGATTCTGTAATAGTTGATGAGTGCCTTATTAATTGCTAAGGAAAGTGAAATTATAACTATGGCGCATGACTAATTTGTGTAATAAATTATTATAGGGTTATTCTCCTCATATCTATCAGTTATTTTTATTCCAAGAACTGTACACTGTGTATATTTTTTTTTTTCTTTTCAGTAGCATCATCAATTAGCTTTGTCAGTAACTTTTCAAAACAGACTGAAAGGCTATCACTATTAGAGTGTATTTTTGTTAAAATGATAGTGAAATCTGAGAAGTATTGAAAGATCTGCACCTGATCATGCCATATTTTGCCATTTTATGTGCTATATGTGAGTGATTCTTCTGTGTGGTGTTCTGGGCAGCTACACTGGGGGAGATTTACTAAAACAGATGCACTCAGAAGTTGATTGGCTACCTTACATGACTGCACCAAATTCTAACTTCTGTTTGTTCAATTAAGCTTTGACAAAACCTGGCAGCTGATTGGTTTCTGCAGAAGTGCACCTGGTTTTGCACTCTTCAGGTTTAGTAAATAACCCTACTGTGTCCAGACCCTTTCCTTACTTGAAGCCTTACTAGGGTTCCATACCCATTCTCTCTGTTAGGGATGGCATGTTCTTTTTCCAGTGCTGTTAGTCTTGGAGTTCTCACCCACATTTCCCTTTCTGCAACTATTTATATATCTGAGTCATCCAGTTTCCTCTATCAGGTTGTGAGTACTGATTTATATTACATGCATTTATTGGCATGTATTCATAGTGTATCTTTGTGCACGGTTTTATGTGGATCTATGGTCTATATCCTGTGTAGGCTTCTATTCACACTCTTACTTATTACGCTTGTTTACTTTTGGAGCATGTTCAGTTTTTAATATTGCAATGAGGGTTTTTTTTTCGATTATTTTGTGTTTGTTTTTTTTTTTGGGTTTTTTTTTTTTTTGTCTAGTTTTTCTAGTGATTTGCTCCAATGATGTCCTAGCACATCACTTGTTTTACTATTTATTTATGTTACTAATTATGGGTGGTCAGTTCCTGTTTGTTTATTGCCATGTGCACTGACAGCCATTTTACTAGTTTGTTTCTTCCACTTTGTTTGCATTGGCCATTTTTTATGCAGGAGCAAATTATGTATAGCTTTTTTTTTAAGCTAGGATGTAGTATATTTTGCTTTTTTGGATGAACTATTGTGAATTGTTCCTTTTTTGTGATCTTTCCTTGAACTATCACTAGTGAATTGTTCCTTTTTTTTTAGTCTTTTTAGTGTCTAGAAATGAGACCCATCGAAATGTTGACAATAAAAATTTACTTTTTTCCGGCGTATGACGACATTTTAACCCCTGGAAATCGTCACAAAGTCTGTGCTGTGCTTTTTTACCGTACTGTCCGGGTTGACCTAATGTGGCAGCAGTAGACGATCGCGGATCATCTCGCACTACTGCATGAGGGTCGTGTGCTCGATTGAGCTTGTGACTGAAACTGTGAGCAGAGAAGGGATACTTTATTCTGGTTCACAGTTTTTCACGACGATCAATCGTCTGTTGCACGACGTCTCATGCAGTTTTGTGTCAGTGATCGAAATGGACATTGCAGAAGAGCTCGGAAGTACGGTATGGTATGCTGCATCGACAATATGAGATACGGTAATTAATTATTAATTATAATGTCTTCATTTCAATTTATGGTATCTTGGAGACAGGCAGGGCTGGGCAGGCAGGGAGAGCTGACCCACCCAATCCAAGCAGGCTTTTATGCCTGTTGCACAGTTGTGCATTTGTACCCTTGGGACTAAATAATACGGCGTAAAGCCCAAACCCTTTATTTTAACAGGAAAAGTAGGGGGGTCGTCTTATACGCCCAGTGTCTTATACGCCGGAAAATACAGGATGTTCTTTAGATTCATTTCTGCTGCCTCTATATATATTTGTACCCTACTAAATAAAGCTTTTATTTATGTATATATATATATATATATATATATATATATATATATTTTATTTATTTTTTTCTTTTTACATTGTACGTATGTAAAAATAATGCCATATCTCAGAGTTTTGTTTTAGGACATGCAGAACTCCCATTAAAATATATCCATTATGCCGAAAGTACTTTCAAATTATGCTTTTTATTTTATCTAATGTCCCTCATATACCAGAATTTATATTTTGTAATCTTCATGTAGACAAGCTGTCTGTATGTTGGAAGATACCAATAATTTTAGTGTCTAGAAATTTCTGTGCTCAGCTATTATTTCTCTTTTTAAAGCTCTACAACTTCATATATAATTTTATAACGGACTTGCTTTTATAGTAATATGATACAGAAATCCAAAGTTTAATCAAAATTTGAAACAATAATAATGAAGATATCTAAGCAATATGAGTTTGATAGAAGAGAAAAAAAAATATTGGTTCCTGGTGTAAGTCATTTATTTTTTTTATACAAAATTGACAACTGATGAGTCAGCATACTAGAATGCAGTAGTATGATAATATGCAATTTATTGGTCTTGCGGTTATTTTAAAATTAGATTTTGTGCACAAGTATACTTGTTTGGTATACACAGTTTACTTCTGCCTGGGACAGATATGGTTGTATCCATGCAAATTTGCAAGTCTCTCAAAACTTTACCACTACTTGGTAAACTTAGCAAGTATAGAAGAGATTAGCTGTCTTTCACTAGTGTAGTTATTTTTTTTTATTTTGTTTAGCAAACATAAGTATAGAGAACACAGGGTTTATTTAGCATATATTTCTCTGTAAAAGAGCAGTAAG